GAAAACTGCAGTCTGAGCTCCCTGCACAGCCTGATGGCATGTGAGGTATTGTCTGCTCCCCAGGGCAAGAGGGGCTGAGGGCAAAACATCCCCTCAAGATGGACAGGGCATGTTCCTCCCCAGCTGCTGACCCCTCACTGCAGGTGCAGGGAGACAAGTGCCACCAGCCAGGGGCCAGGCTCCCTCACATCCCTGGTTTCACAGTATCACAGAATGGTTTGGGTTGGAAGGGATCTCAAAGCTCATCAGGTTCCAACCCCCTGCATGGGCAGGGACACCTCCCACCAGCCCAGGTTGCTCCAAGCCCCATCCAACCTGCCCTTCAACACTGCCAGGGATGGGGCAGCCACAGCTTCCCTGGGCAACCTGGGCCAGGCTCTCACCACCCTTAAGACTAGAGAGGATCATGAGATCCTGCAATGTCCTGAATTTTAGAGCCAGCAAAGCCTAAGAGCGAGAGCATAGCTCAAACACAAACACCTCTTCCTAAATTGACACCCTGTTTTGACCCAAAACACAGAACAAGGAGGCTCTGCCACTTCTTCCCTGTTTCAAATGCATGAATTGTGCTTTCTCTTATTTTTTTTCCCCCCTGAATCTCTCTGTGGTGTCTGGATGTCATCATGCTTTATTCTGCCAGATTTAGGAGCCCATTAGTACTTGTGGGTTTTTTTCCCTGGGAAAATGGTTGTACATTATAAAATAATCTTCTCATCCTCTTTTTGATAAGCTGATCAAATTGAACTGTAAAAGTCTTGTCAGCTGAGGGCACAATTCTCCAGTTCAAATTATCTGTGGCTTTTTAAACAGCCTCTTCAGGTTTTGCAATGTCTTCTCATGTCAAAACCACACTGAACATTCTGCTTTCAGAGATGCTTTCAAAATTCAGAGAATCTTTCTACCATCCTTTGTATTTCCACCCTACCCATTCCACATGAAATCAGACCTAAATGTTCCAACACTGGACCTGAAGCTCCTTTTGAGTTGTTTGTCCATTACAACACTTCAATCTATTTCCAAGTCACTACACTCAGGACAAAATCTCCTCCTCCTGTAGGTGTGACTTGTGTTCCCAATTTCTGGATGGCAAATTTAGTGTTTGTTCAGATTTTAAACAGCCAAAACAAAACATATCCTCTCCCTCCTCCCCAAAATTCTCAGTTCTGCTGAGAAATAAACTGCCTACAGCACCCTTGTTTTCATTGCTCCTCCCATACACCCCCACACACACACACACATTCTGTATTTACAGCAAATTTGTGTTAGAATCTGTGCTGCAGTCAAACCTGCTGAGGAAAAACCTGTTGTACTGGGCTCAGTATGAAAAGGTGCTTGTTAGAAATGAGGGGGGTTCTTCCTCCCCACGTGCAGGACCCTACACTTACCCTTGTTAAACCTCATGAGGTTCCTTGTCTGCCCAGCTCCCCATGTCCCAGTGGATGGCAGCACAGCCCTCTGGAGTGTCACAGACCCTCCCAGTTTGGTGTCACCAGTGAACTCACTGAGGATTCACTCTGTGCCCTCATCCAGGTCATTGATGAAGATGTTGAACAAGACCAGACCAAGTATTCACCCTGTAGCCACAAGGAAGGGCTTGACTGACAGCCCAAGCAAAGCATCCCAGCTGCAATTTAGAGCTGGTGTTGCAGGAACCAGTTAACTGATCACAGAACTGAAAAGAAGATTTGCAGTTGGTTTTATGACTGTGATAAGACCTGGTGACAAGCCTGATAAATGGGAAATTCTCATGAATGGGGGGGAAAATGAGCTAGAATTGATATTACTGAAACCTTGTGGGACAATTCATAAAAGAAGTGTGGAATCAGTGCTTAAGGACAGAGTGGCCAAAAGAGGTGGAGGACAATATGCAACATTAAAGACACTGGTACCTGCCTTAAAGTTAATTAATGCAAGAACCTTGAATACACAGCAATCAGTTGACTAATTAACAAACCCAAGAGGAAAAGGGTGTGCTGCAACCAGAATGAAGTGCATTGCTTTTGGAGCACTTGGCTGTAAAAGAGCATATTAAAAAAAAAGCTCCCATTGCATGGGAAGCTTCTGGTGGAGATGAAATGGAGAAAATGGTGACATGTAATTAGCCTGAAAACAGAAAATGATAATTTTTTGGCATCAAATTTACTGCATCCAGTAGAAGGGGGTTGGGTTTGAGCAGCTTCATGGGAGCTTATGGTGAGGAATTCATCCAGGACTTTGTGTTGCCCAGGGACAGCCAGTCAGTTACACTCAGTGTAACAAAAAGATACTTCCCAACACTGACATGACATATTTGAGTGCTGAGGAAGAGTAATTAAAAGCAACAGGGCAATATGATCAAAACTAACTGGAATAGGATGCATAAATAACAACAAAAAAAGAACAAGAAGCACTTTTTGAGGAAGAAGATGAAAGTCTGTCCTGTGTCACTGCCAACACAATCAACTAGTACAAAATAAAGAGCAGCTAACTAGGAAGTGTAGGAAAACTAAAGAGAAATTAAAAATCATGGGCAAATAGGTCTGTTTAGATGTAAGACTTAAGTAAAATGGGAGTTAGGACATGGTTTATGTTGCCTGAAAGTTATAAGCTTATTCCTAGCTTGTGATGGCTGAACTTTTAATAATGATGTGGAAAAAGGAAAAGGTTTTGCAAAAAAAATTAAATACTTATTCTAGGTGATGCAGAGTGAAATATTCATTTCACTAAAGGATAATCAAGTAACTTTCAGTCTGTTGATGGTTAGCATGTGTTAAAAATAACCTGAAATACTTTATGAATCACTGGAATCCTGGAAATCTGGGCTGAGTTCTCCAACTGCCTTTTTATTTTTGGTAAGTATTGGAGTGCAAGAGAAATGCCACAGGACTAGAAGAAAATAAGTGTGTGCCCAGATGAACAAATAAACAACCAAAATGTACATAACTGATATAACTGCAGGCTGTCAGTCAGGGTTTGGTCCAGAAAGGGCAATGGAGAAGCTGGTTTTGGATTCCCACAGTCCATAACTAAGTAATGGAAATTAAATGAACTCCAGTTTCCCTGATTTTGTGGAAAAGGCTGGCTTTTGTAGATGCTGTTTTGTACTATGGAACTGGTATTATGCAGTGTCAGGAAAGTATTTGTTAAATGGATTGGTAAGTTAGTTAAGTAACACAGAAAAAGAATTGATGATCCAAGGACTGGAGCAGCTCTGCTCTGGAGACAGGCTGGGAGAGTTGGGGTGTTCAGCCTGGAGAAGAGAAGGCTCCAGGGAGACCTTAGAGCACCTTCCAGTGCCTGAAGGGGCTCCAGGAAAGCTGGGGAGGGGCTTGGGACAAGGGCAAGGAGGGAGAGGACAAGGGGGAATGGATGAAAACTGGAGGAGGGGAGATTGAGGTGAGTCATGAAGAGGAAATTGTGGAGTGTGAGGCTGGTGAGAGCCTGGCCCAGGTTGCCCATATTTTCATATTGCCTTTAAGAACTTAAAGTTCTAAGGAAAGGCCTAAATTTGGACCAGTAAACTAGAGCTCAAGAAGCATGTATTGCCAGTTTCCTTCTTCTACACTCTAGTTTGCATCAAGTTGAAAATGAAGGCAATTTCTTAACATGAACCCCACCACTTAGTTTTAAACTGGAAGAGGGTAGAGTGAGGTGAGACATGAGGAGGAAACTGTGGAGTGTGAGGGTGGTGAGAGCCTGGCCCAGGTTGCCCAGGGAAGCTGTGGCTGCCCCATCCCTGGCAGTGTTGAAGGGCAGGTTGGATGGGGCTTGGAGCAGCCTGGGCTGGTGGGAGGTGTCCCTGCCCATGCAGGGGTGGGACTGGATGATCTTGAAGGTCCCTTCCAACCCAAACCAGGCTGTGATTCTACATACAATTCTATGGCAACAGGAATTTTTTCACTATTGCAATGAAGCCCTCTAACATTTTATATTTGTGGAAAAAATCCTAAAGGCAACTCAAGCCATTCATTCAAATTTAATGGACAGTTCTGAAGTTCGTAACCACTTCTCCAACTATGAAGTGAGCACTGTGATACCACCTTACCAATACATTGATGGAGTATATCTGAAGGTTCATCAGTGATCTCAAGTGAAAAATCCTGGTTCAGTAAGTATCTGCATATAATAATTAAAGGTAGAAAGAAATGGAGGCATTTGCAAAAGCTGGCTTTGTCAGAAACTAAAAACCAATAAAGCTTAAAAACTTCAGTCTGAAACAAAACCAGTGAAATTTCTGCTCAAATACTTCTCAACTTGGTAGCTACCAGGGAGTGAAAACACATGACAAGCAAAGGACTGCTCAGCATCCTGAATGAAAGGTGCTGTTGGCCCAGTTTTGAGTTATGACCATTAACCAGTAACTCCAGGTGTCAGCAGAGGTCACTGAGCACAATGCAGCTTCTGGGGACTGTCCTCAAACTCACTGGAGGTCACACACAGAGCCAGCTTTTCAGGAATCACACTCCACATGTTTAACAGAGAACCTGGCTGTATTTACCAAAATCTGGCAAATTCTGAGAAGGTTTGGTATGAAACAGCCCTTGTACAGCGACTCCCAACCACAGCATGCAACAACACCTTTACTCTAGTGCTGCCAGGGTTACTGCTGCTTTGCTTGAGCATCAACTTAAACCCCAGATTTTAAAGAATATTTGAATGCTATTTACATATTCATATGTTGTGGCTACTAATATCCCAGCAATGATGGTAACCCAGGCACCTGCTGTATTAGGGACTTTGAAGACAATGTGTGATAAACTTAAGAGTCAATTTACACCATCATTACAAAGGAAATTATTCTTGTTATTTTTCTTTTTTTTTCCTGTTAAATTCCAAAACCTTTCTGTCAAGTTAACAAAAGGCCTTTTTAATTTAGCACAACTCGGGCAAACAGCAAGTGTTTGTGTTTGGGGTTTTTTTAGGAGGTTGTTGTGGGGTTTGTGTTGGGTTGTTGTGGTGGTGTTTTTTTTTAGTGTCCAAAGTCTGAGGGTTCACTGATCTAGATTGGACTGGGTACTCACTCTGTCACACAGCTCCTCAAAGGTGAAGTCTGCAATGGTTCCACATGCTTTATTCAGCCTCAGCTCTCTGCCTTGCACTTTTAGAATCCTTGGTCTAGTTACTATGGGAACATGAACAAAGACTCAATCTTCTCTGGATAATTACTATAAAATTCATCTCTTACAGATAGGAAATGCATAGCTTGATGAATAATAGCACATGATTCAACACATAAATTAGACAAAATGCTGATACAATGACTGCCACTTGAGTGTGGCATCAACCCATAGACAGCAATGGAACTTATTAATTGGTCAGTGGAGATTGGGCATTGTGTTCTAAATGTATTCTCTTTCAAGAGAAATTAACTTACGTACAATCATTTTGTTTCTGAGCCAGCTCATCAAACAACTTATCCATGACAGCCTCCACATCAGCTTCACTTGTGCTACAGTGAAAAGAATAATAGAATATGAAATTAATAACACTTGAAGCCAACATCAAACAGCTGCCTGAGCCTGCTTAGCTTTTTGCCCATAAAAAAGAGAACAGGATGTTATGCTCTAAATACAAACATTAGATTTAGAATACACTTAAAAGTAGAGAGTATTAACTCTCAGGTAGATGATTCTGCCTTATTTGCATACACTGAAAGACTTCTGTTTTTTGAGCTGTTTCCAGTAATGAGGCAATACAGGCAGAGCAGATCCATTAACACTCTGTGGACACAATGAGTAAAAAGGCTTCTGGCTCTATCTTGCATGCAAAATTAGAGCAAATAGACAAGGCAAGGCAGTCAAGCACCTGAAGAAGCATCCTTTGAAATTTCTGAGAGGGGACTTTGGGAAATGAAACATTGGAGCAGCTTTATGTGTGTGTGTGGGAAACAATCAAGTCAACTGATTATATTGATCAGACAATTTGCTAAGTTAAACTAAGATATTAAAAATACCAGCATGATCTCTGCATTTGTAATTTTAGCTGTTTCCCTCCTTTGTCCCCAGTACTATTTGGGAAATTTTCTCAACTAGTTTGAAAGCTGAGAAGAGCAAATTAATGATACAGCAGCCAATAAGCTAGAACCAGGATCTAGGATGCTTCACTAAAGCTTCTATCATCTCAACTGGTGTGAAAAGTCTGCTTTTCTAGATGGTGGTTGCACAAGTTGTGTTGCTTGACATAGTTCTAGAGCTGCTCTAAACAACAAGTGATGATCAGCAGGTTGCACAATTATCTTCTTGTTCATTAAGCCTTAAGCACCTTCAAAATAACAGCAGAACTGAAACAACCACTTTTTAGCTCAAGCCTAAGAACAGCAAACCTCGGCGATACAAAGAATTTGGAGAAAAACCCCCACAAACTTCAGAAAGTGTCATTTAAACAAGCAATTTAAAAAAACAAGAACCTTTTCTGAAGAGGTTACATAAAATTGCAACTTCAAAAAAACCCCAAAAGTCTCTCAATCTCCATGTTTGTGTGCTGCTTTTCTCTGAGAAAATGCCAAATGAGTTTTATTTTTATATATATATATATAATTATACATCAGAGAGTAAGCAAATATGTATGCATAGAAGTCTCAGAAAGTCTGATGCAAAGGCTACAAGAAGAACCAGCCAAATATGATGCCCAGGTGGATTTTTTGCCAAGAAAGTGTTTTGAGAGCAGATACCCAAGACTGAGATCAAGGAAACTGCTCTGATCAAGGCTCCTCTACTTGTGTTTCCCTGGTTGCTTTCAGCTGAATATGGAACAGCTTGAAGCAGCCCAGAGTTCCCTATTTAAATGAAGACCACATAAATGAGGAAGCATCAAGTTGATCTTGGAAATAAAAGTCACGATGATACTAAAAGTATTACCAGGGGAATGTGAAGGTGTTGAACAGAACATCTTGCTTTGGGGCAAGATTGCTAAATAAATGTCAAAAACCTGTAGCAAAATACTGTATAGCACCTGATTTTAAAACAAAACAATCTCCACATACTGTGCTGTTTCTGCAGAGTTGAGAGCTCCAATGAACAATACAAGAATGAAAGAGATTCCCTCAGAAAAAGACAGGATGAGGAAGTATCTTCTTTCCATTGGCATCTACAAGATGTGTTTAATTCTTTTTTTCCCTACTGCTTGCTAACATTTACATGACACGTTCTAGAGGTCACCAACATCCTTCCAGTAACAGAACATGAAACTTATCACAATCTCTGCCATTCCTTTGATCCCAAGTTTTACAGCCAGATACCATGAAAGACTTGGGCTAGGTGCTACACCACCCAGATTAAGTCAGGCAAGAATATAGAATAAGAGTTGCTTTTCTTGAGTTCATAGACTCACAGAATGTCTGAGGCTGGAAGGGACCTCTAAAGCTCATCCAGTCCAGCCCCCCTACAGTGCACAGGAACCTTTTTAACTAGATCAGGTTGCTCAGAGGCCTGCCCTTGAATGTCTCCAGGGATGGGGCCTCCATCACCTCTCTGGGCAACCTGCTCCAGTGCTTCTCCCCTGTGTTCACACAGTCACGTTTTGTTTGGAAATACAGAACCTGCATTTGACCTGTTTTCCATATATAGATTTTGGTTACTTCCTTCCAGAAGCAGAAGGAGTTACTTGTTAATCTGCTAAGCTCTGCTCCTCCTCCTGGACAGACAACTACCATTGCTAACTTTATCGTAAGTGATATAGACTTGCTTTGTTTCAAGTACCTGTCACACTAGTGAAAATGCTGCACTGTTCCTAATGGAAACATGATTTTTAAATCAATATTGTGCCTTGGGTTGCAAGATAAGATGGGTATAAATCTCATTTAAGTTTCTGTTGTCTGCTTTGCTCAGGTGGTTATTGATTAAATAATCTAAGAGAAAATAGGAGATACACAAATGTCTGCAATGCAAAGGTTTCAAAGTATTTTTTTAAAAGATTTTCTATTAGGCAGCTACAGCTGCAATGACAAGCACAAATGTGAACAAATTTTAAAATATATTTATTTGCAAATACAGAATAAAGTGCTAAAGAAATTATTTCATGATAAACAGAAACAATCTGTCAAATAGGAGGGTGTTTGGTTTTGTGGGGTTTTTTAATCCACAGTACTGGAAACACCCAACATTAAATGAATCCTTGTCATTGGATTTCTATAAATACTTAATTACTTAAATACAATAAAGATGCTCCTCTATTATAAGAGAATTGTGCAATCTCTTACAAGAGGATATTCATTACTTTCTAACCATCTGTCACTTCAGTTCTCCAAACACCACACCTCCCCAAAAAAATCTAATTAGTTTTTATTCAGTCACACATTAGAAATGATGCCAGTGTGGATACTGAAAATGTAGTTTAATGAAGTTAATATCGAGGCACAATGGAAGGCATTTTGCTGAACAAAAAGGACCAGAAGGCAAAGAAAGGAAAAGTCACACTCTGCTAATTCTACTGTACATTTTTCATTTCCCATTGACTAGGAAAATTATTGGCTGATAAGAAGGTAAAAAGAGAGATAAACTCACAGGTAGTAAAGTTTTCCAGCAGCAGGAAGCACTTGTTTCCTGTAGTCTATTCCAGAATCAAGCTGGATTGTGCTGCAGTATTTCTACAGAGAAACAAAAATAAAGAATAATTTTCTTCAAGCCAAAGCTGGATTTACTGTTGTCTGTGTCAGGCAGTGAAGACACTGCCAAGAGAAACCACCAACATGAACAAGAGCTGCAAAACTGAAACTGAAGATCACAAAATTGAAATCTCCTTTACAATGACAAGCAAAGACATAAGCTGGAAATCATTCACATACTCAGAATAAAGAAGTACCCGTTTTTAAAAGTGAAGCAACTGGAAAAGTCATTGGAAGCACAGGGAATGAACTCAGGGTGGGTATTACTTGATCTCTCTGTGCAGTGCTTTGTTGGCTAAATAAGTAAAAATAAGGATTTTCACATTACAGAATATACAAGGAGAAAACAAGGAGCAATAAAAGTTTAACAGACCACAAATTCTGGCAACAGACACAATTGAAACAATATCTACTTTATAAGCTAAAAAGAACTTTATCTTTCTCTTCTGCTAAGAAGATTAAACATTTTATGAATCAAGCATCAACCATATGAACACCACCAAGTCCTGATGCAAAATGGGCTGAAGGACAAAGGGGAATAAACAAAGCTCTATATTTTTTTCATCTTGTCAGTGTCTGAAGTGACTCAGAAAAGGAGCTTTTTCTCCCCTTTAAACAACCTGTAAGATTCCAAGTGCAATAAAGAGCCCCCTGAGTAGTCACAAGAATGACTTCTGTTGGAAAACTCAAAACCAGCTGTACTGAAGGGTGCTTTTTTTGACTCAAGGCCTGAGGCTGAGGGCAAAATTCTCACTAACCTCAGTGGGATCAAGATTTTACACCCCCTGGCAAAGGGAATAGCTCTGCTTCTGTTATTACCATTGCCAACATACATAACTTCTGGGTGTTATACAGCTAGAAGGAAAAGAAGCTATAAAGGAAAGGGAGGAAAAGTTGTAATATTTTAGAAAATATACCTCTATCAGCAATGGAATTAAAGCAATAAAACTTCTTATTTTGTAGGTAATTCAATACCATTAAAATTCTCTGGATTGCTAGAACCTACTAAATTACTCTGCACTAGGAATTAGGAGTTTATCTTTAATACTCTCATACTTTCATATTCTGTGTGTCCAATTTTTCAAGGCCTCCTTGAGGCCATTCAAATAGCAAAACTGGAAGTGTCAAATCTCATTTATAGCCACTACATTGGAAGGGAAAAAAAACAACAAAACCAACACACCAAAACAACAACTTACATTTTAGAACTCTCCTCAGTGATTTAAGGAACAATGGCCCCATTAACAAATGCACTGCAGAGGACTTAGAGATAACAAATATCTGCAGGAGAGACTTTGGGGACTCACTGCACTAATTTTTTGCCCTTGGCTATTAATGAAGCCTCTATACATATATTAAACCTCCAGCTTCTCTGCAAAGATACACAGCTGAAGAAAGAAAGGGGGGGGAAATAATCACCCTGAAAACACAGAATCCCAGGAAAAATCCCTATGTCTTTCATTGCAGTAAGTGAAAAAGCCATGCTAATCAAATCATTATCTTGGGCTAAGGCTACTGCAAACACAATAGAACTGGTGCTACAATATTATTATCATCTAGTCCCTTTCTTTCTCAGAAAGCTGACAAAGAAAAGAGAATAACAGAGCAGAAGAAAAAAGTTCCAGAGGCATGTAATAAGATACACAAGGGAGGGAGGATGTTTAAGCTTTTCTTCAGCATCAGGCTGGCAGTCAAGGCTAGAAGGAAGGTGGCTGAAATTTCACAGCAAAGCTGGTGGACTTGGCTTTTCTTTGCCAGGCACTGATGTTCAGAACCTTCCTGCCTCATGTTTTATTTCTCCAAAGTATTAGATTAGCTCAAGTATTATTTTCTTCATGTTGGGGGGGGGAATAAGAAATCACATTATTACAGCTATGCAAACTATAAGATTATTTAGATTAACTTTAGATACTCAGATATTTAGTAACTCTGCTTATCATTTCCCCCTGAAAATAAGAGACAGGAAAATTTGCATGAATTCAGCCTCATCTCTCTGGCCTTTAAAATGGGTTTACAAACTCTACTGCTCTCTCAGGGGGTTGTGTGGCATGTAGAGTGAACACAAAACTACATCTTCTTAAGGGTGTGGGATGGATATGGTGCATGGTTTTTTCAAGAGATTTGCTTTAAACGTTAAAAAGCCATCATGCAATCAGAACAGGTAATAGAAGGAAAGAAAACACATCAAAATATTCTGTACATCCAAGCTAGACAGTTCAAATATTAGATTCAGAAAAATGAAAAGCAGATCCATGGTGGCATGGTATGGGGAAACAAACAGGGCTTACAGCTGCAAGAATGAAACACTGAACCTCAGAGAAGGTGCATGTCTGAGCTGGCACCACCATGGACCTTCTGTCCCCTTCACAGGCGGCGTCACAGAACTAGAAAATCATTTACAAACTCTGCAAATCTGGGGAGGGTGGGAGGTGGGAAGTAGACTTCTCTGCTTTTTACCCTTCATCTTTTTGCAGCACGGGGAAAAACCCTACTAAGATTACCTGCAGAAGTTCTAGGGTCTCTCTCCATCTTTGGATGAACTCCTCCAGAGCTGATGAAACCCTACAGATGAGATTCCACCCTCACGCTCACTAATCACCTGCCAAACAACTAACCTGAGTGCTCAGATGGTTAGCACTTCTCTGCTAAAGCCATGGCTTTAACTCCTGGTTTCCATTTAAACATGGTAGTAACTATTAGTTTTCATTTAAACATTCAGATTTCATTTGCTTGGGCTAAACACCTACTTTCCCTTTGAAATAAACAGTTAAAATCAAATCTACACTTAAGTCTTCTCTGCTCTTTTGGAACCATCTACCATTTCCAACACATTTTCTATTGAGATATTTCAAGTCTGACTTACCCTATTCAATTCAAATGTAGAAAATTAATTAGTCATACAATTTATTTTGAAGTCATTTATGTATTTATGTCTACAAGGAACAAATACAATTACAGAATTGAAAATGCAATTAGTAAGTTAAAAATACTGCATGATCAGGCACTTGTTTTCACTCAAGTGGCAGGAAAACTTCTGATTCCAGAAGAAAAAAAGACAAAGCCTTAAGAGACAGAACACCTCAAATGACAATTTTCAGACAGAACAGATGAAACTAGATCTTCAGTATACCTGCTGTAGAAAGTTACTAAATGTAGACAATTAAAGAAATTGTGTTTTTCTTTCTGTAAGCACCTAAAATATTCCTCTGTTGCTGCAATCAAGAAAGGCAGCTGTTCAAATGTTTAACTGCTCAAGAAATTTAAGTACACGACATGATGGGCTGGTAAGAGGAGGAACAAAAGTTTCAGGAAGTTTCAAAAGGCAGTCAAAATGAACTGAGTTATCTGCAAGAGCTCAAGATGTGTGTTCCCCATGTATCACAAAAAGGCTGAAGTGCTCCTAGATTGCCTTGAGGTCCTCATGACACACTGCACTAAATACAGTGTGTCCCTGTGAGCTCAAATACTGTGATCAACCCATGACCCTTGGTAGGGCAAGAGAGTAGATACCACAGAATCATTTAATGGTTTGAGTTGGGAGGGACCTCAAAGCAAGAATTTCCTTCTCATGTCTCACCTCAGTCTCAACAACAACAAAAAAACCCACAACCCCAAAAACACACAAACAAAACCAACCAAAATCAACATAGAAAACTATACAAATCATCCTGTTGGCCCACAGGACCAGACAAACCCCATTGGGGACCTGCAGCGAAGGTGTAAGGGAAGAGAGATATGAGACGGCTTCACTTAGGGACGATCACTACCTTAATTCCTACACCTCCTGAGTTTCCTCAGCCCTTCACATCCAGGTCAAACCAGACACCTGGAAATGCAGCAGTAACACTGTATCTGCAGCATCAAACACTTTCCAGGTGAGTAAAGAAGAGTCTAGTCCTGTCCTCAGCCATGCAAAGCTCTTGGCCTCTGTTGTGGTTCTTACCAAGCACATTAGAACACCTACTATTTATTAACAACTTAGTCCATAACTGAGAAGTGCAACTTCTACCCACACTTACAGAGCAAAAGGAATAATAATTTCCACATAGGTCTCACCTTCCCTTTTCAAATGCACCCTCAGCATTTAACCCTTTGTATTAGCTTAGATCCAAAAAAGTCCTGCCCCACTAAAACACACCTCATACCTGACCTGCTGATTTGGTCTCCATTGACAACAAACAGGATCACTAACATTCCTTCTCTCCAGAAAATAAGGAGATGGTTCACTGGTGATCATTCTTTTCATACATTTACATCCAGCCTAAGAGAGACAAATTCTCCCGTGTCACACAACACGTAGACACATGATGAGAACCTTCAGGCAGCAACAGAGGCAGAGTTCCTCAGGTACACAGACCTCACCAGACTTCACCATTTTTATTTGTCATTATTCAGCTTCATGCAGTGTTAAGACTGTCAAACAGAATATTGTTTCTTCTTCCTAAAAGTTTCTTCTTAAGTGAGTTCAAGAAGAGGATTCTTCATCTAAATGATACCACTGCAGCTGGCATTTTCCCAAATGACTCTGAACTGTGCTTAGAACAAGAATCCTCTCAAGCAAAAAACACTATGTATCAGGAAAAAAAATACTCCTGACCTACAAAGCCTACCCACAGGTTTTAACTTCAGTGTCTCCAAGTCACTAGGCAAGTGATAATCACCAGTACGTTTTGGAGGATGAAACTGGTCCAACTGGGACTCACGAGCTGGGGAGGGCAGGTAGTTCCACAACCTTCTGTGAGAAGCCTATGAAGTCAAGTTCTGAAAGGAGATCAACCAGAGCATTAGCCACAAGCAAGGATGGTCCAGGGGCAGGACCTTCGAAGTGTTGCTCCTTTTATCCATGCTTAAAATTGGCCTTGTTAAAACAAAACAAAAAAAACCCAAGAGAGTAAATTGAGTTTGTACCACTCCTCACTTTCTGCTACACTGATCCATGGGAACAAGGAAACTTAAACTGGAAGAGGGGAGATTGAGGTGAGACATGAGGAGGAAATTCTTTGGTGTGAAGGTGGTGAGAGCCTGGCCCAGGTTGCCCAGGGAAGCTGTGGCTGCCCCATCCCTGGCAGTGTTGAAGGGCAGGTTGGATGGGGCTTGGAGCAACCTGGGCTGGTGGGAGGTGTCCCTGTCCATGCAGGGGGTTGGGACTGGATGATCTTGAAGGTCCCTTCCAACCCAAACCATTCTATGATGATTCTATGAAGATGTACTCAGGGAGAGGGAGAAAGAGAGATGGAATCATCAGGTATTTGGTGGTGAATAAAAACCTGGTCCAAGCATTGCTGGGTGTGCACAGAGTTTTCATCTCCCTGTTCAGATGTTGTTGAAACAGTAGACTTTAAAGAAAATGTCAATGAATCCTCCTAAGCACTAGACATGACCTCTGGGGTAATTAGCAATCATTCAAAAGCAACAAGACTAAAATGTTCTATTCTTTACTACTGTCAGCTCTTGTCTTGATCAGCATTTTAATAAAGATGGTTCATTGCTAAGACAGTTTCATGAATCAGTCATAATTACGTTCTGACACACAGTGAATAGTAAAGCAAAACTAAATATCACTTCATCAACCTTTCTAACCTTTATGCAAGTATTAACTGTAAATAATTTTTACACAATCTTACAACAGAAAATCTGCATATTTCTTAGCTTTGTACATACTCCAACCTAAGTGAATTTCCTGTGACCTATACCTGAAAAAAACACTTCCTTACAATCAGGCGTAATTATTTAGTCTCGCATGATATTCAGGTGTTGCCTTTCACAGATCAAATCATCTCCAAGTACAAAAGGCTGTTTGTGCTCCAAAATAGTGCTACACTTGAAGGGGTTAACTCATTTATTTTTTTAATGTCTTTATCCCCCCTCATTCTTCATTATTTGCAGTAACAAAATATGGGGAAATGGCTACAACAGCCTTAGACACTTGGTGCTTGTTCCAATTTGAAATATACAAAAAAACCAGCCACAAACAAATTTTGAAGAGAACTTTCCAAAGGTTACCCGAGTTCACAGGACAGTATCAGGGAAACTCATCATGCTCAGGTTCATTTTGGATTATAAACATTTTATTTGTGAATTATTTTTGAATGGACTTAAGAGCACAGAAACCACTACTGCCAACTATAATTTTTTTAATGAATCTGCCTCTTACACTCGTGACAAGATAACTTAAAACTTTAGGAGTTTGGCAAAGAGAAATGCAGAGCTAAAATGAATTCAATGCAAGTTGCACGAGTTTACATTACAGCTTTCAAACTTTAGCAACTAAGAAACCTCACTATTCTTGCTACCACAAGGAACATACGAGCTATTGTACAACTTTTCAATAACTTATTTTCATGTCTAGCTACAGATCAGCTACCCCCAAAGAAGAGGAAAAATAGACAATTGACTTGTAAAACAATGGTGCATGAATAGGAAAGAGGGAGACTTTTAAAATGTCCTGTTCTCTGAATAGTATTTCAGATACTCAGACAAAGGTGAAGGAATTCAGGAGGTAGAGATGTGGCTGTGCTGGGGTAGCAGACAAGCAGCCTCTCCTTTTTCCAGCCAGGGAGCAGAAGAAAAGCAGAGTCAGCCTCCCTGCAAGAGGAATTACACTGAACAGCTCTCCCCATTTCACATCTCTTGGGGAGGGGGAATAAATCTTCCTTGTAGAATAAGTATAAATAAATTAAAAAACAAGCCAAAACAAACCCACAAACCACTGCAGAGCATTCAGTTTTGCTAAAGAACCAATAATGACTGTAACTTGCAATCTCCTAATAAACAAGCTGAGCTGTGAAAAACAACTGCCAAGAGTTCACTCCCAATTTATAACAAGATGTTCCATCAGCTAAGGGTCAGATTCACCCCTAATACATGTACTTCACTGGAATTACACCCTGGGTTAAGTTATTTGTCTGGATTTCTGTTTAGCTTTTTTGCTGCTTTTTTCTTTTTAACATTTGATTTGTGTTTCTTTTCCCAGTATTAGCCTTTGCTCCTGCCAGAACTGTTGGCAGGCAGGGGAAGGAAAAAAAAAAAAAGAGTAGTATTGATTTACAAAACTGGATTTCCCAGAATAATTTAAAAAAAAAAAAAAAAAAAGTGCTTAAGATCTAAAGAAAGGCTAGAGATGCCTTACACTGAGCTCTGCTGAGGTCCACTGCCTCATTACCAACAAGTGAAAACTTGGGATGCATTTTGTTCCAAAGGAACCCAGAAGTCCCTGCTGGAAAGCAGGCTGGGGGTGCAGGGCCCCTTCCCTCCCCCTGGATCCCCACCATTATGCCAGCAGTATAAAACACTGCCTTTATGCTGACAACCCACAATGACTCTTCTTACATCAAAGCTTTTTCACCACTAGGGTTTTCCCCCCCTCCCCTCTGAAATTTATTCAAGCCAAGGGCAGGGAGACAACAATTCATACACACTAATTACACCTAATTATCTATTCCTTTTTTTTTTTTCTCCTTTCCACCAGCTTTGGTTATTTGCTATCTGGGTTTCTCACAACCTCCCCTTGCCCTGTCCATCCAGCTCAACAGTAAAGTCTTTGAAGAAAACTGTTGTGGCTTCTTAGAATTTTAACAATGTAAGGTTCAACTCAAATGAAATTATTCCATTCTTAGTTTTGACACATTTATGTGTTAAATATGAAGGCCTCTTGGTTAATTTGGCAAATTCCTCACATCTCTTCGTGGCTAGAATTGCTGGTAACACCCTCTCTTGTAGGAGCTTCTCCTCATGCTTTCTTTTCATGATCTAAATGAAATGTTTATTGGATTAAAGTTCTTCTCTGCAGACCTCCATGGTGGCCTGTGACAAAGAGCTTAAAAGCTTTATTAATTGGCTCGGGCTTTTTGGAGGGAGGCAGGACCTCATTTCACATTACATCACAAGCAAATAAAACTGCCACGTGTAATTAGACTAATATACCCTGATACAGC